GTGAGGTTTGGCTTTCAATGCCCACCTCTCTCTTCGGAAAAGGAGCTTTGTTGAGTTAGAATGGGGGTCTTCAAACTTGGCAACTTTAGGACTGCGGGGCTTCAACTCTCAGAATTCCTCAGCCAACCCTTGGCTGGCTGAGGAATTCTGGGAGTTGAAGTCCACCAGTCTTAAAGTTGTCAGGTTTGAAGATCCCTGAGCTAGAAATTGCACTGAGTCAAGATAATCACCTACCATCTTTTAAACCTGCCCTTAGCACAGTTGTCATTCTAAGCCAGGGGTAAGCAATCTTGGCTCTTTTATGACTCGTGGACTTCAACTCCCAGAATTCCTCAGCCAGCGTGGGGGAACTATGGCCCCTTCATGACTAGTGGACTTCAACTCCCAGAATTCCTCAGCCAGCATGGGGGAGCTATGGCTCCTTCATGACTCATGGACTTCAACTCCCAGAATTCCTCAGCCAGCATGGGGGAAACTATGGCTCTTTCATGACTTGCGGACTTCAACTCCCAGAATTCCTGAGCCAGCATGAGGGAAGTATGGCCCCTTCATGACTCGTGGACTTCAACTCCCAGAATTCCTCAGCCATCATGGCTCAGCATGGAAACCTCTCCCTTTCCCCTCAGCATGGCTGGCTCAGGAATTCTGGGAGTCATAAAAGTCATAAAAGAGCCAAGGTTGCCTAACCCTGTATCTAGGCAGAACACTTAAGACTCCCTGAGGCAGAATCAGAATCATGTCGTCCTCGACTTATGGACCATTCATTTAGTGACCCAAGTTACAACAGCACTAAAAAAAGTAAAAAAAGCAGGGCAGCATTAGTACTGCTTTATATAAAGCCTTACTAAGGCCACACCTGGCATACAGCATCCAGTTTTGGTCACCACACTACAAAAAAGATGTGGAGATTTTGGGGAAAGGGGCAGAGAAGAGCAACTAAGATGATCCAAGGCCTGGAGACTAAAACATATTGTGGGAATAGGTTGCAGGAATTGGGTATGGCCAGTGTGGAAAAAAGGACTGGGGCCGGGGGGGGGGGGACATGATAGCAGTCTTCCAGTATTTCAGGGGCTGCCACAAGTATTTCTCACCCTCGGCAACTTCAAAATGAGTGGACTTCAACTCCCAGAATTCTCCAGCCAAGCATGTTATCTCTGCCTCAGCTGCAAAGGCTGCTGGGAAAATATTCACATCTCCCACTTCAAGTGAGAGAGGACTGGGGGGGGGGGGAAATTGTCCAAAAGTGGAGGACTGGAAACATGTGATGCAACTCCAACGACTCTCTGACTAATTTTTTTTTTTTTTTATTTTGACTGATGAAGCTACTTGGATGAGTACCGAAACGTCTCAGATTAACAAACTTTGGTCCAGTTGCCATGATTTAACCTTTCTAAGATACTTTTGGCCTGGGTGATTGAGTTCTTCATTGACATATTGCAATACATTTTGGGGAGAAACCCCTGCAAGTTGGTTTGGCAAGAGTTGGTACTTTCCACTGACTGATTCTCTGCCTATTTATATATATATATAAAACACATATATATGTAACACAGCGGCTTAACATGCAGACAGCCCAGGTTTGAATCTCAGAAGGGTATGTCTGGTTGAAGAGAACTAAAAAGTTTGAAATAGCTATTCCATTCTCCCTTAATTCTTTGTTAGCAATCCAAATTTTATAATATATGAATGTATATATATATATATGTGTGTGTATATATATATATATATATGTGTGTGTGTGTGTGTGTGTGTGTATGTGTGTGTGTATATATATATATATATTTGACTGATACAGTTACTTCAAATGTCTCAGATTTAACAAACTTTGATCCCGTTTTTAGATATATGTGACGAAAGCTCCACCCCTTTTTAATATCCATCACAAAAGGGCGGAGCTTCTCTGGCTTAGCTGTTGCAGCCATCTTGACTTTTTTAACCACTTTCCCTGTGGATCCCCTGCCACAGGACCATACACAGAAAATACACTCTTTCCTAGAAAGTCTGCTGCACAAAGAGGGAAAACAAACCAAAAGGCATTCACACAAGCCAAGATTATTTTGAATAGACTTTTTCATCATCGTCCTCATCGTGGTCAATCATTATATTTGCATCCTTTTTTTCCATTAAAACCAGGAATCTTCAAACTTGGCCCTTTTATGACTTGTGGGCTTCGACACCCAGAATTCCTGAGCCAGCATGGGGGAACTGTGGCCCCTTCATGACTCGTGGACTTCAACTCCCAGAATTCCTCAGCCAGCATGGGGGAACTGTGGCCCCTTTATGACTCATGGACTTCAACTCCCAGAATTCCTCAGCCAGCATGGGGGAACTGTGGCCCCTTCATGACTCGTGGACTTCAACTCCCAGAATTCCTCAGCCAGGCGGGCTGAAGACCCCTGATTAAAACCGTGTTTCTCAACCTCAGCCACTTTAAGAGGCATGGACTTCAACTCCCAGAATTCCCCAGCCAGCACAGCTAGATGGGGAATTCTGGGACCTGCAGTCCACAAATGCTGCTTGGGGAATTCTGGGAGTTGAAGTTTTCTACTCATCTTAAAATTGCTGAGGTTGAAAAAACACTGCGCTAAAAACGCTCCACAATAAATAAAGCAGAACAGGTGTAAAAAAGAAAAAAGAAAAGACAAATTGGGAACAGCGACAGCCGCCAGATTAAATTTATTTCAGCAGCAAAGCAGCTTAGAGGCCGACACCTTCTCTGAATTAAAAGGCCTTTGTTTGGCCCTGGAGGAGCAAACCGGGGTCCATCTTTGCAATGTCTCTCTGTTAATGAAAGGGGTTTTTAAACTTTTTGACCTGCTAAGTGACTGTTTCTTGATGCGCTTAAATGAGGGCAGCCTGAATTGTCACCCCCCCCCCCTTTCAGGCCACATCTTGGCAAATGGACAAAGCTGCCGGGAACAGGATGTGTATGTGTGCCTGTGCGTGTTTGCCTGTTTGCAATTGCTTGCCGTTGCCACACATCAATGGAGCCGTTAAGAAATTCTTGCGGCTTCCAATCACCTTTTTTGAATGCGAGAAGATGCAGCGTGTATAACACTCAAGTTGTTTTTCAACCTCAGCAATTTTCAGAGGAGTAGAAAACTTCCACTCCCAGAATTCTCCAAGCAGCATTTGTGGACTGCAGGTCCCAGAATTCCCTGTCTAACTATGGCAGCTGGGGAATTCTGGGAGTTGAAGTCCATGCCTCTTAAAGTGGCTGAGGTTGAGAAACACGGTTTTAATCAGGGGGTCTTCAAACTTGGCCCTTTTATGGTTTGTGGACTTCATCTCCCAGGAAGCCCTGATTCTCCTATGAGGCGGGCAAACTTTCAGAAACTGGGGTGCCTTCCCCCCCCCCCAATTTTCTCTCTTACAGACTGGAAATGCCCATTTCTGTTTTTAAACCAGGCACTGTTTTTCCATTCTGATGAAACTCAGTTCAATCAAAGTTATCTCAAGTTCAATTAGTGAAGAATTCAGGATCAGAAATAGCAGCTAAGGCTAGGCCCTTCCGTTCTCTAGGCAGCTTGGCCTGAAGGCAGGACAAGAAGCAACGGATGGAAACTCATCAAGGAGAGAAGCAACCCGGAACTAAGGAGAAACTTCCAGATAGTGAGGACAAATGAATCAGTGGAACAACCTGCCTCCAGAGGTTGTGAATGCTGCAGCACTGGAAGTTTTAAACAAAAGATTGGACAACCATTTGTCTGAAATGGAGGAGGAGGGGGAGGACTGTGGGATCCTGGGTGCTCTCTGAGCTTGGTTGTTTTCCTACAGATGTTTCATGACTCAACTAGGTAACATCATCAGGGCTAGAAGGGAGTGGGGGTTGCAGGGAGGAAGGAGGAGGAGGAGGGGGGGGTATGAGGAGGAGGAGGACGACGACGAGGACGACGACAACTATGGGGTCCTTGGTGCTCTCTGAGCTTGATTGTTTTCTTGCAAACGTTTCATGACCCAACTAGGGAACAACATCAGTGCAAGAGGGAGGAGGAGGAGGAGGAGGAGGAGGAGGAGGAGGAGGAGGACGACGACGACTGTGGGGTCCTTGGTTCTCTCTGAGCTTGGTTGTTTTTCTACAGACGTTTCATGACCCAACTAGGGAATATCATCAGTGCTGGAAGAGAACAAGAGGAGGAGGAGGAGGAGGAGCACTATGGGGTCTTTGGTGCTCTCTGAGCTTCGGTGGGTCTCTTTGCAGACATTTCATGACCCAGTTAGGTAACTTCGTCCGTGCACTGGTAATGAAACATCTGCAAGAAAACCATCCTGTTCAGGGGATCTAAACTTTTGTTACAAACACAAAAGTGTCACTTCCCTTTGGGGTCAGAGACTTCCAATCACACCCATTCCTTCCACACAAGGGTGTGGGAAGAAGGGGATGCCCAATGCGTTCCTTGCAAAGGAACAATATGCAGCCCTTTAACAGAGCTGGAAGGGTCCTTGGAGGTCATCTAGTCCAACCTCCTGCTCAGGCAGGAAACCCTATACCATTTCAGACAAATGGCTGGCCAGTCTCTTCTTAAAAACCTCCAGTGTTGGAGCGTTCACCGCTTCTGGAGGCAGGTTGTTCCACTGGTTAATAGTTCTCACTGTCAGGAAGTTTCTCCTTAGTTCTAAGTTGTTTCTCTCCTTGATGAGTTTCCATCCTTTGCTTCTTGTCCTGCCTTCAGGTGCTTTGGAGAATAGCTTGACTCCCTCTTCTTTGTGGCAGCCCCTGAGATACTGGAAGGCTGCTATCATGTCACCCCTGGTCCTTCTCTTCATTAAACTGGACATACCTGATTCCAGCAACCGTTCCTTATATGTTTTAGCCTCCAGTCCCCTAATCATCTTTATTGCTCTTCTCTGCACTCTTTCTAGAGTCTCAACCTCTTTTTTACATCGTGGTGACCAAAACTGGATGCTGGATTCCAAGTGTGGCCTTACCAAGGCCTTGTAAAGTGGTATTAACACGTCACGTGATCTTGATGCTATCCCTCTGTTAACCCCTCTCTTACTTGTTGCTGTCCCGGTACTGATAGCTGTAGCAGCCTTGGGGCATCCCGGTCTCCTTGTCCAAAGTAAATGAGAGTTTCATCTGCAGGAGAAAGAGAAGGGAAGGAAGGAAAAAGAGAGGGGGGGGGGAGAAAGAAAAGAAAAACCACATTTAGGCAATATTCTCCAGGACAGCAGCAGCAGCACCTACCGGGAAAAGCTGATGGGAGCAACCAGCCTCCCCCCCCCCCCAAAATGACACGCAACCATCAAAGGCTGGAATATCAACCCCCTTTCCAAACCTCAAGAAGGAATCACATGGCCTGTAAGGGAAAATGCTAGTTTTTTCCACTCTTTTTTGTTAAGAGAAAGTGTTTGTGGTTCTTCTCAAATGGCACAGGTCAGGACCGTTTCCCCCTACAGACACACACACACACACACACACACACACACACACACAGAAAGAGACACACACACACACACACACACACACACACACAAATACACACAGAGAGAGACACAAACTCACCACCCACATATCCACCTTGCCCTAGATGAATGAACTGGGCTCTCCCTGCCTTACAATTGCTGATGGAAAGCAACATTCATCCCTGAAGATCTAGCAAAGAAGGCTAGTAAAGGCTTAGTAGAGATAAAAACATATGAGGAACGGTTGCAGGAACTGGATATATCACAGGCTTCTTTCATTTTCTGATTGTTAGAAATTGTCTAGTTTTATGAGGGGGGGGGGAAGACCCAGTGAATTGGAGATGGATAGGCTAGAGAAAAGAAGGACGAGGGGTGACGTGATAGCAGTGTTGCAGTATCTCAGGGGCTGCCCCAAAGAAGAGGGAGTCAAGCTCTTCTCCAAAGCGCCTGAAGGCAGGACAAGAAGCAACGGATGGAAATTCATCAAGGAGAGAAGCAACCTAGAACTAAGGAGAAACTTCCTGACAATTAGAACAATTAATTGGTGGAACAGCCTGCCTCCAGAAGCAGTGAATGCTCCAACACTGGAAGTTTTTAAGAAGAGACTGGACAGCCATTTGTCTGAAATGATATAGGGCCGTGGTAGGCAACCGTGGCTCTTTTATGACTCATGGACTTCAACTCCCAGAATTCCTGAGCTAGCCATGCTGGCTCAGGAATTCTGGGAGCTGAAGTCCACGAGTCATAAAAGAGCCAAGGTTGCCTACCCCTGGTATAGGGTCTCCTGCTTGAGCAAGGGGTTGGACTAGAAGACCTCCAAGGTCCCTCCCAATCCATTATTCTATTCCCTGTGTTCTAACTGGGTATGTCTGGTCTAACAATAAGGACTAGGGCAGACATGATAGCAGTTTCCCAATATATCTGAGGGGCTGCCACAGAGAAGAGGGGGGTCAACCTATTCTCCAAAGCCCCTGAAGGCAGGACAAGAAGCAACAGATGGAAAGTAATGAAAGAGAGAAACAACCTGGAACTGAGGAGAAATTTCCTAATAGTGAGAACAATTAATCCTGCTCAGGCAGGAAACCCTATACCCATTTCAGACAAATGGTTGTCCAATCTCTTCTTAAAAAACCTCCAGTGATGGAGCACCCACAACTTCTGGTGGCAGGTCGTCCCACAGATTAACTGTTCTCACTGCCAGGAAATTCCTCCTTAGTTCCAGGTTGCTTCTCTCCTTGGTTAGTTTCCATCCGTTGCTTCTTGTCCTGCCTTCAGGCGCTTTGGAGAAGAGGTGCCCCCCCCTTCTTTGGGGCAGCCCCTCCAATATTGGAATGTCACCCCTGGTCCTGTCCTGTCCCAAACTACATGAGTACTTACTCAACTGCTTTACAACAGATCCTTCTTTTCACTAGACCAGAGAGAATTCACCCAATGGCTGCAGGGAATTCGTCCCAACAATGAAACAGGGAAAATGGAGAAGACACATGGGAATTTTTTTTGGGGGGTGGGAAGGAGGGAGGGCAGCCGAGAGGAAGCCCAGATAAAACAGCTCCGGGCAAGAAATCTTTTTTCCATGCTGAATAAAATCCTTCCCCCCACCCGCCCGGTGAGCAGGGATCAGCCTGGACAATTCCAGACCGCACATCTGCATAAAGAGCGGTGATGATGCACTCTTCCCCACTGTCGTGTCAAAAGGGGAAGTGTGTACATTGGCAGCCTGGTGTGTCAAATGATGCTTTGCTGCATTCCAGACTCCTTGCCCAGCTGGGGAACATGCTCAACAATGGGATGCCAGGATGTTCAGCTGCAATCAGGGATGGTAGGCACCAGGCAGAGGGTTTGCGGGAGGGAGAAAGCAAGGCAGGGAAGGGGATGGCACAAGGTTGGGAATGCTGCTCTAAAGAGGGGAGGACTCCAATGATACGGAAGCTGTGAATAAGAGAATGGGGAGGCGCCTTGGAGGTCATCTAGTCCAGTGATTCTTAACCTGGGCGATATCACCCCCCAGGGGGCGATTTCATTTTTCAGGGGGGCAATGGAATAAAAAGGGGCGACGGGGGGCGAAGGATCAAAAAGAGGGCGATATGGGGGCGATGGAGCGAGAGGTTTTGGGGACACTTTTGATACTTTTCATACAGTGAATTGCTGCATATCTGTTGTACAAAAACATCAGATCACTCGCGATTAGTGGATTGAATTGTGTTTTCAAATGTTCCTCCATCTAGCTTCAGCACAGAACGCCGTACATATGTGAATATGCATTGCTTATCTTCCTGCACGTTGCGCAGCAGCCTCTACCCTTTTTATATTTCTTTTTGCGTCTTAAATTTCACTTGTAATTCAATCATTAAATGTTTACTGTTTTTCTTTTCGGGCATTTCACTTTCTTACAATTGAATTTTGTTTTCAGTGGTCATTACATTTAAGTGTCTTGAATAAATAAGATAATAATAAAATATACATGTATCACAAAGTTTGGGAATAAAGTGATGGGTGGCATCAAAATTTTTCACAGTTGAGATATGGGGAAAAGACTGGAAATAAATTATTTGCATCGATATGTCCTTATGACAATTTTAAAGAAAACAAAAAAAAGTGTTCGCATAAATTGAAGAATTATTTCCTATGTTGTGATTGAGAGGTTATGTTGAGGGAGGGGGCGATGACAACTTCCTCATTGGCTCAAGGGGGCGATTCATTCAAAAAGGTTAAGAACCACTGATCTAGTCCAACCCCCTACTCAAGCAGGAAACCCTACACCATTTCAGACACATGGCTTTCCAGTCTCTTCTTAAAAACCTCCAGTGTGGGAACATCCACAACTTCTGGAGGCAGGTTGTTCCACTGATCAATTGTCCTCACTGTTAGGAAGTTTCTCCTTAGTTCCAGGTTTCTCTCCTTGATGAGTTTCCATCCGTTGCTTCTTGTCCTGCCTTCAGGAGCTTTGGAGAAGAGCTTGACTCCCTCTTCTTTGGGGCAGCCCCTGAGATACAGGAACTCTGCTATCATGTCCCCCCTCGTCCTTCTCTTCATTAAACTGGACATACCCAATTCTAGCAACTGTTCCTTATATGTGTTAGCCTCCAGTCCCCTGATCATCTTTGTTGCTCTTCTCTGTACTCTTTTTTAATTGTTCTCACTGTCGGGAAATTCCTCCTTAGTTCTAGGTTGCTTCTCTCCTTGATCAGTTTCCATCCGTTGCTTCTTGTCCTGCCTTCAGGCGCTTTGGAGAAGAGGTGGACCCCCTTCTTCTTTGGGGCAGCCCCTCCAATATAGGAAGACTGCTCTCATGTCACCCCTAGTCCTTAACAGAATAACAGAGTTGGAAGGGACCTTGAAGGTCTTCTAGTCCAACCCCCTGCTCAGGCAGGAGACCCTATACCATTTCAGACAAAGGGCTGTCCAGTCTCTTCTTAAAAACTTCCAGTGTTGGAGCATTCACTGCTTCTGGAGGCAGGTTGTTCCACTGGTTAATTGTTCTAACTGTCAGGAAGTTTCTCCTTAGTTCTAGGTTGCTTCTCTCCTTGATGAGTTTCCATCCGTTGCTTCTTGTCCTGCCTTCAGACGCTTTGGAGAACAGCTTGACTCCCTCTTCTTTGGGGCAGCCCCTGAGATATTGGAACACAGCTATCATGTCCCCCCTAGTTCTTGTTTTCAGCAGACTAGACATCCCTAATTCCTGTAACTGAACTGGGATGAGAAACGGGACATCTTCAAGGAAAAACAAGAAAGTCCCGTTGCCTCTTGAAAAAAGCATGACCTGGATGACGGAGACTCTTCATGGAGATTCTTCATGTGTTCTTCCTATGCTTTAGCCTCCAGCCCCCCCAATCCTCTCCATTGCTCTTCTCCGCCCTCTTTTCTGGAGTCATTTTCACACAGTGGGGCCCAAAACTGGATGCAGTAATCCACGCATGGCCTTACCCAGGCCTTATAAAGCGGTAATGCCTCAGGAAGAGCACGCTTGGAATACGGCATCCACTTTCGGTGAGAAACTTGAGAAAAAGCTGAGTTGCATTGTCTGCCTGGGAGAAGACGAAAGGGGGGGGGGTGTTAATTGAGTCTGTAGGGTGTTAATGAAACCGGGGTCCCGTGAAGTCCACCTGCCGGGAGCCCGAGGTGGATGGGGAGGCAGCTGACCTTTTACGGACAAAGGACCATGACAGAGAGAGAGAGAGAGAAAAAAAAAAGAGAGGGAGAGGAAAAAAGAGAGAGAGAGAGAGAGAGGCTGGCATTCTTTGCAAACAGATTCTTCCTTCTGAGGCCAGGAGAAAAATGCAAGAGTGAAATTAACCGGCTATTAAAGAGCAACAGCTTGATTAAGCGGCTTTGCCATCGGCTGGCATTTGAGGCAGCCCCCCCCCCCACCGTGGCGCCTCATTAGATGCTGTGCCAATTCTTGAGCAACTCGGCAGGACATCGCTTCGGAAAGCGAGACAATGGGGAGCTCGAAGCAAAAGGCAAGGGACAGATCGAAATGGGATTCAGCCTGGGATGTACGTTAACAACAACAACAACAACAACAACAACAACACACACACACACACAGAGAGAGAGAGAGAGACATGCAAACCCTGGGATCACTAACAGGGTGCTCGTCAGGTTTCGGCCAGAGAGAAAATGCTAAAATTTCCACAATGTAAATAATAAGTAAATAAATAACAGAGAGACCGT